GAACCTTGAACCTTGATAGGTGACACCAGCCACTAGTTTTACATTCAGAGATGTCAGCAGATCATGCAAACATTTGGTTGAAATCGTGTTTTTTAACATATATGTGAAAGGTCCCATGTCATGCTTTTCCGGTTATTACCCGTCCTCTTGTGTGTTATGAAGGTTGTTCTGCATGTAAACGGTCTGCAGAGTCACAAACCCTCAAAGTACACCCTGTAGCGAGTAAAACTCTAACACAGAAAAGACCTGTCTCTGCTGCCCCAGAACGCCTCGTTGGACATTTCTCATTTTCCATTGTTTACTTCCTGGGTTCTGTGACGTGTGAACACCCAAATCAACAACAAATGGCGAGCAGCAACGAGCCTCGCAACGTCCCGACCAATCAGAGCACACTGGGCTCACAGGGAGGGGGGGGCAGGAGCTCCAACAAGGCGTGTAGGACAGAGAGTGAATACACATACTATACAGAGATGCTGTATGAGAAACCAATGTGAGTTTGGAAAATTGCACAATTTAAATCTATTCTAGTAGACCTCAACAATGGAAATATGATCAGTAGAAATGGCCATGACATGGGACCTTTAAGCAACATTTAATATGAATAAAGATTGGGTCAAACAGTCTCAGAATATCAAAGGTTTCTGATTGAAATATGACCAAAAAGAATCAGAAGACAAAGGAGGAACTTGACAAAATTGCCACATTTCAAAAAATGACTTCACACTGCTGACACATTCTCGGTGCAGCTTGCAAGTCAGTAACTGAGATATCAGATCAAAGATGAGAGATTTCCTGTGAATTGTCGAACGTGTCACTTCATCCTGGTTTCACATCTGATTAGTCTTGCTTCTTTCTTTTTTTAATTACACTTTCATTTTCCGTCTTTGTCATGCATCCTGTTCCAAAGAAATGACCCAATGCATAGTAATATTAGATTATTATATTCTATTATATTAGATTTAGATATATTTCCAAGTAAAAGGTGTCATAATCTCACCGCTGTCAGCACTGCCATCTGCTAAGAGCGACTCATCTATCTGTCATTGTTCAGGGAGATAAGGCTGTGCTGCTGACTGTGCACACTCTCTTCACCAACTTCCTGTCCAATGGAGCAACAACGCACACTTGCTTCACTCGGGCCGGAAAACAAGTCTTCATCACCATGGAGACAAACAGGAAGTGGTGGTGTGAAATTTGTCTGCAAGTTTGATATCTGCAGGAAGATAGGCAGATTAGCTCAAGATATAAATTATGACTATAAGTTCCTAGCAGTTAATGTGAGTACTACATGTGTATAAGTTAGGGTAGATTAGTTGTATCAATGCAATTATGAGAAAAAACATTGCCATCCAAACAAAAAAAGACACATAACAGTGATTGTCAAAAGCATTATTTGTAAAAATAGCTTATTAGAGTCTTTCTGATCCAAACTGTAACTCATACTGCTTTGTTTACAGTTTTTTAGGGAACCGTGAATAATTTCAGGAAGAAACATTAGTTGCTGAAATAGTACTGTACAAAATAGGGATTTAACGATACCAAACGTGCAGTTGTTGTTACCAGTACCAGTGAAATTCCTAGATTCTTGATACCTAATTTCGGTACCACACGAAAAATAACTGCAAAAAATGAATCCAATTTACTTCAACATAAACTGCTTTGTTACCGTTTGCATACTGTTCTTAGTTAGGAAGTCAAACCGGTCATAATTCCCTTTTTAATATCTATTTTATAGCACTGTGAAAACATTTCCTTCAAACTGCACCGTCTCATTTTTAGACTTGAATCGACCTGGCACCATCTGTTCTTGTGACATCCTTTCTACAAAAACAGGCGTGGCAGGGACATTTGGGGATATTTAAAAAGATACACACTGCGCTCACTTCAGATTAAAGTATTTTTTATTCATTTTGTTTCTGTGTGCAATGAGCGTGCTTGTTTACGCAGCTAGTGTATTTGTGTAAGTGTGCTTGCTAAGATCAGGCATTGTCTCCTCCTTGTGTGAAACACAGCTTTGTTGATTAGGTGACATCTCCCCACTGTGTACCCATGATGCATCTGTGCTATAGCATCACTGTGACGTTTGTGCCTGTCGCACCAGGGAACTGAAATATACTCGGATATGACATCTGTGGAATCCTCTGCTTGAGCCGTCTCTTTAATACCCTCATTTTATTATCTCTTGCTTCATGCTTTCCTCTCTTTTCAGATACGCTTCCTTCTTATTCCCAGATATGACTTCTCCTATTTTACATGCTTCCTTTCTTAAAAGCATCTCCTGCTGTTAATGTATCTTCTATTAACAATGCACACTTTCCTAACACTAATCAACACTAATCCTAGAGGATATTTAACATGTAGGAATGTAGACGGTTTGAATTGTAACCTTCACATGAAAGTAAGACAACTCCAAAGTGCCGTACGCACAGTAGCCAGCCTTGTTCTTGAAATGCTGTTTGTGTGTGTTTGCTGAGCTGGTTGAAGGAAAAGTGGGAATAGTGTGCAAAGGCTGACCTTTGCACATAACTGGACAAGCTTTTGCAGACTTCAGCATTTCAGATTTGTTTTACAATTGACCCAGCGAGCCAGTAGGTCAGAGGTCTTCTTTTTTTTAACACACATTGTATACTCTTACTTTTACTAACACACTGGCTACAAATTGCTGACAAAATCTACAGTAGCTGATTTTTATTATTATTAACAAGGTCAATATCCCCAGTGTTTCCCATACATTGATTTATTTCCGCCACAATTAAATATCGTCCGCCACAAATGGATCTCATAAAAAAAAAGAAAAAAATTATTTTATTTTTTTTATTTTTTTATTTTTTTTGGTGGTCTAATGGATAGTGAGGTGGGCTGATGATCGGAAGGTTGCGAGTTCAAATCCCACCTGGAACACCACTACTAGTGTGCCCTTGAGTAAGGCACTTAGCCCTCAGTTACTCCAGGGAGAATGTCCCTGTAATTGGTCATTGTAAGTCGCTTTGGAATAATGCGTCTGCTAAATGACTAAATGCCTAAATTGTAAATTGTAAAATATATTTTTGGGAGAATAAACCCCACAGATCCTCAACTCCGGTGTGTCTCACTCATTAACAACGCAACACAGAGCAACAAGAACATTGTCTACACTCAGTAGCCATGAACTCGCATGTATTTTCTTATTTGAGGGGGGGGTGGATGCGTGGGCCACCCGAATAGGGGGCCTTTGGCTTTTCTTGCCGGGGGGTGGTGCGGTGCGGTGCGGTGCCCCCACAAATAGAATCAAATTCTGTGGGAAACACTGATCCCCTCCACAATTGGGGAGTTATCATGTTGCTTATTTCACAATTAAGTATGTACTTACTACCTCTACAGCAGTCAACCGCATCTACCTGGTCACAGGTCCATTTCTGACAGACTATTTGGCAGTCCTTAATGTAAAAAGTCTAGATCTAAATATAGCAACTGGGCCACACAAATGTACTAATTTGGGAGGCCAAGGGATCAAGTAGGTACTCGTCCACAGTCAACCTGTTCATCATAATAAATCAGTAGGGATTAGCTATAATCATATAATTAAAAGCCTTGACAGTGCAGTGCATTGATATTGGTCAAACACAAAATCCTGAGATTAATATCACAGAAATGTTTAAGGAATACTGTTTTAAAAAACCCTCTTCTTAGTTAGGTATGCAAAGTCTCTGCACCATAATACTCCTGCAGCATTAGTCAATATGCAAGTGTGAAACAAATATTTGATACCTCCTAATGCAGCTTCTGGAATTGTTATACCACCTCTTGTCTTTCTGCACAATCCTAGCTGTGAGCAACAATGTATACATCTTGAAGTACATTTGGGGCATCACTGTGAAGGAACACACACACATATTTCGTGATTTATAGTCAATCAAAGCTCAAATGTTTGAGTTTATTTAGTGCACCTACATTAGCAGTGTGCTTGGTGGACTGACGGGTTATTAATAGATTCAAGAAACCTGCCAGCACTCCTGCCTGCACCCAACAAAGAATATGCAAACACACACACACACACACACACACACACACACACACACACGCTTTATATTTGTATCACGCTGTGTCTGAGTCATAACAAATGTCAGGTCTACATATTACAGCAAGGTGATGCATGACCAGCTCCAAATGGAAACCCCTGCAGTGTGCCGTATGTGTCAAACGCTCCGCTGTTTGTTAATTTAGTTATTCATCGTGCAAGGTTTATGGAAGTGCTTTGTAATTGTGCGTTTTTTAAGATCGATATCACCACCGTAAATGTGCATTCAATTATGAATGTCTAAGTCATATGGTCAAGCTCAGTCCAACTCACCACATCAAGACATTTTGTGACCCAATGTATCTGAAGAGAGGGTAAGACAGACTTACCCACTGATATTAAAAAATGCATTTCAGCAAGAAGAGAAATGCACAAACGTCATCACGCATTGAAAAAATGTGATGAATATCTGCCTTTGAACTGTGAACACACTCAAACTAGATGATAGGAAAATAGCAGTGCGTCACAGACTGCAGGATGTTAAGATGACCTTTTATGCAGGAGCGACATCACTTTAAGATTCGCTAATAATCAAATCTGAATATTTGTAATTAACTTCAGCTCTAATACCATGGCAGAGTGCTTCTATCACTGTCTTTTCTTCTTCTTTAATGAAGCAGAGAAAACTAATGGACGCAAAGCTCCAGTATCATGCATCAGATGTTTTGTTGTCCACATCAAGTAAATATATTTTCTACTTAAGGCTTTGCCACTCCATTTACAGAGATGCCTGTCAGTCAACAACATCATGTGTATCTGTGGTAATGATTGATTATGTTTGTCTTGGTTCTGCCTATATTTCCACAGTGAGACACACTTTTTCTGCGTACTATCCCAAGGCTTCACGTCTAGCATTTCTAATGTTACCTGTCATTTTACCGACATTTCATACTGCTGTATCACTGATCCTCTTTCTTCCCCTTTCCTGTGTTTTTCCTGACAGATAAATGAGTTAAGCCATGTTCAGATTCCCATCATGCTCATGCCAGACGACTTCAAGGCGTACTCTAAAATCAAAGTGGACAACCACCTCTTTAACAAGTAAGTTCATTTTTTAGTATGATATTTATGAATGTATTTCCAGACAAAATGAAATACTACATTTGTAAATAATTGAATGTTATTTCAGACCGGCCTTGACCATCTCATATACTCAGTTCTGTCACTCTGATGTTTTGCTTTTATCTTCACACAGGGAGAACATGCCTAGCCATTTCAAGTTCAAGGAGTACTGCCCTCTGGTGTTTCGAAACCTCAGAGAGAGGTTTGGCATCGAGGATCAGGACTTCTTGGTAAAATCCTAGCAATGTTTCTATCTTTTTATGGGTCAAATATATAGATTATTATGTCATTCCTGTAGTACTAGGTTAGTGTAGATTGCCAGGTTAATGTTCCAGCTACTTATCCAGAAATGTATCCGAACCTTGTTTATTCAGTAATGAAACCCCCAGGTGCTCGAAGCTCACTGGAAAACATGCAACTGTTTCAAAACAAATGTGATCACAGTATTGCCAAGAACAGTGTTGCATTTTGTCCTCCCCCTCTTTTGTTTCAGCCTTGATTTCCTATATGTCCCACTCCTCCCCAGTAAATCCCCATCCCCAGTGCAGGGTATGAGTTGGCAGTATTTGGAGGTCGTTGTGTCCCGGCTCAGTGCAGCTGTCCGTCTCACATGTTTACATTAGAGTGTGGGCAGTGGGGGTGTTAAGACACTGGCCAGTAAGGAGGAATGCTGTGACATTCCCAACATTAAACTTATTTTCCTACATGAGCCACATTGTGTTTATTGGTTTGTATGTTTTGCCCTGGCTCTAAAAGCCTGTTGGTACCATTTCTAATTGGTGATATTACTCATTACAGACATTGGTCACCACCAGCTGCAGGCTCTTTTGATGACATGCACAGTAACAGTCAGTTTTAATGAGCAATGCTAGCAGTATTACGTTTAAGTTTTGGACGGGTAACTGAAGTGCAAACAGATTAACCTTTTCAAGCATTATGATGAATGCCTGGTGGAGAAAATGACTAACTAAAACAAAACATTAGGATCATTCTTTGGAGCTTTTTCATCTATGCCAGCCTCAGGCAAAGGGCCTCTTAAACATTTTCATCCTGTGACACAAACCACTTTAATGTTACTCTGCCGTTAGAAAGCTCTCTTAAGGGACCCCTAGAATCAAGACTGCAACCAATTTAAGGTCTAAATACAAGAGAGAAATGCTGCCAGACCGTTGTTGAGGGTTGATCCTCACTGTTCAAGTCATAGCATCTTTTGCTTGTGTTGCAGAGGGGAAAGGGAACTGAGGGCAGAGGACATGAGACATTCTTGGACAATGAGGCATTGAGCCAGGGGTGTTGTATCATGTTACTTTAGAGCTCCACAGTCTGGGCAGCAGCTGTGTGTGTGTGTGTGTGTAGGTCTGGACAGGGAGCAGGCACAGGGGTCAGATCCCCACATGTTTAGACTGGAGAGTGGGAGGTGGTCGGATATCCAGAGGCTAGAGAGAAAACAAGTTAAAATAACAAGTAATAAACACTTGTTTCTATAAAGGCAGGGCAGATAATGCAAAAGGTGACAGCTGATCATATCGTAGTGTGTGCATCCTGATGAGCGTTATTTATAATTTGTCTGTGTTTTCCCTGTTTGTTTTCAGAACTCCCTGACACGCAGCGCTCCCTTGAACAGTGACGCCCAGGGTCGCAGTGGGGCGCGTTTCCATACCTCTTATGACAAACGCTACGTGGTCAAGACCATCAGCAGTGAGGATGTGGCAGAGATGCATAACATCCTGAAGAAATATCATCAGGTAAATGACAGCTTATCTTATTACATCTTATACAAATGCAAGCCTTGATTCTTCAATGAGAAAGTCCTCATAACACCGTTTGTCTTTGATGGATTCGAAACAGCTCAGAAACTAAAATGTACTCTCCTCAAACTCTTCTGAAACAAGCGTCTAATCCTGTCTTATCTTAACCCCGCTGCCTTAATCTTAACACCATGAGGTCAAGGAAAGATGTGTAGGGGACATTTGTAAGGACTTAGGAATCGACAACCGCAATGCTAGGAGAATCCCACTGCAATAACATTAGGCAACATAATTATGCAACGATGGATTATTGATGTGGCTCGGTCATCACTGTTGCTGCTGCAAGGAATTATGGGACGGCATTATCTCCTTTCCTTTCATAAAGGGTGATCCATTGTAGCCTATGCTGATAAGAAAGGGAGCATTGAAGCACCTTTCCTTTGCTTTTAGAGAATTGGACCATCTCTTGTCATGGCTGTCACTTAAATACTTCTGGGTCATTTCCCTCCGTGTGGAATCCTCACGTGAATAAAAAGACCATTCAACCACAGACCCTATCTTTTGCACTCGTTCTTCGAAGGAACTGCAAGGAAATAGGACATTATAAACACGTGTGCAGAATTGTAATGTGCATCTGTACTATTTTTGCATCACAAGCTGACACACGGGCCTCCAGGCATAAGTCAGGAACCTTTTACCCAGCGTTTCAACATCAATAAGTGTCAGGGAACAGATTTATGTGATTTGTTGTCGCAGTATGTCAGAGCTTTGACAGATATTCCTTCTGTCTTTTCGTAGTTCATCGTGGAGTGCCATGGCAACACGCTGCTGCCTCAGTTTCTGGGGATATACCGGCTCACCGTGGATGGAGACGAGACCTACATGATTGTTACACGCAATGTCTTCTCTCACAGACTCTCCGTCTACAAGAAATATGATCTCAAGGTAGGAGGGGAAAACCCATACAGGAAAAAAAGGAAGAAAGGGAATGAAAAGTGATCACATAGGGCATTAATATCACAAGAAATGATGTAAATGTTATCTATAATTGCACTACACCAGTCTCTTTGCGACTCATTTTTCAAATACTTGTTGTGACTGATCATCTGAGCTTTGGTGCAAGAATTAAGATGTTTATTTGGTAGTTTTTGTGTCCCAAAAGATATGCCTGTTTTTACTCAAACGCAAAAGATAAATTGTAACTGTCGTACAAGGTTGTATGCTTTAAACTACAGGCATTATCCAGTGGGTAATACGTGTTGTAAAACAGGGCTGAGAGCATCAGATAACCACTGAAGCTGTTTTAATCCACTTTAAGCCATTGCCTAATAAGGTCAGCTTCGGTGTTCAGACATGCCCACGGGTAATGAGCATCTGCTGGAATGAGTATAAGTACAGTGGTAAGAGAAAGACTTAAACAATTATAATAATAGTAATTTCCTTTCTTTTGTTTCTAGGGTTCCACTGTGGCACGAGAGGCCAGCGATAAGGAGAAGGTACAGTCACCTGTCGAGAGCCGGGGTCCACTGTTACACACCCACTGCTTTAACCTTCAGTAGAGGAAGGGCATCCTAACCTTTAATTCATGCTTTAAAAAGACAACAACAATAATAATTATATAAACTCAGAGTGCTACAAGTCAAAAGAAAGTTAGTAAGTCCATCCAACTAGCATAAAAAAGGGTTAGCAACATATTTAAAAAAACACATAAAATGAAAAAAGACAATCCACACCGCTAGCGTGTCACAAAACTGATTTTCTATAAGCGTATCGGCACCAAATGTGTGCTGGACATAAAACAGGTGAACTAGTTAACATAAATAATAATAATAGATCGTGTAGCTTACTCAAAAGCTGTTTATGTCCATCAAACAGACTGCTGTCCTTGCAGCCTCTGAAGGTGCATTGCTGAAAGAACAGCAGGCTCTGATAACATTAGAGGTCAGTCGGTGTGGATTGAACAGATGGACACTTTTTATAGCACTAAGCTGATGATAAATTAGGAACAAGGTCCGTTAAAAAGTGTTCAGAAACACTGGTACGTTTTATTTTCTCACAAATATACTTTTTCCTGATTTGATTCCCCGTCCATTGAAAGCCATGTGGACACTTAGAGAACCAGAGAGAGAACAAACTGTGTTTCCAGTGGTTTGAATTACCCACACAGCTTCAAACTATTCCAGGCTTACTGTCATCACCCAAATGTCGCAACTAACGAGTGTTTAGTCCCGTTGTTTCCCTTTGGGCGGGGTTGACAGTAGCACATATCCATCTCCTTCAGTTAGCACCTACTTCATCACCCCATTCCCCTTCTAGCCCCTGCACGCTTTCTGTGTCTCTTTAATTTGCTTCATCCCCTCTAACCTCGCTTCTGCTCTTCCACCAGTTCCCCTGCCTGCTGTCTGTGTGAGAGAGATTGAGGCGTGTGTGTCTGTGTTTATTCTATCAGATGTCTCGTGATGTTGGGTAGTCCTGTGTATTGTGTGTTTTCTATGTAGCTGTGTATCTGATTGTGTGTGAGTGGGCAGTATATATAAGCTTTTCTGTGACTGACAGTGATGGAAATGTTGCTGTTTGTGTGAGACTGGCTATTTTCAGTTCTTGCTCTTGGCTGAAATCGTGCAGCACCTGATGGTTGAGTGTGCTTCCTGTTAAACTTGTATTAGCAGATATAGGCAATATATTTTGTTATCTCTAAAAGTCTTTAACTGATAGAAGTGGCCGACGGCGTCCTGGAACACTTTGACTTTGGACCACTGTTGGTTTGACCTGTCAGTATTTAAAAGGGATGCTTGTCCGGATTGTTCTCCACACGTTGCTCTTCCAAGTTATGTATGACCATGGAAAAAGGTTTTTACATGAGAACAGTTACAATAATGACCCACAGGGGTTTGAACTTTCCACTGCCGGGCTTTACAGGGGCTTAATCGTGGGGCACCATGCAGTGAGGCATAAAGAACTTCAGGGAATCCCCGAACTAAAAATAACCTACTGTAAATGGAAGAAGAAAAAAATGGGGTCTAAACAGAAGAATGGAAAAAAGCAGCTGAGGGTTTAAAGCACACGTAGAGCTCCTGTGACCTCATTTGTCTGCGGCTTCGCTGTGTCAACAGAACTCATTTTTGAATGAAAACTACAACTGACTCTTAACTCACAAATGAATGTATTGCTGTGGGAATTCTGTAGTTGTTCTACCTTTTTTTAGTGAAATGCACCTAATGCAGTTAGCATTGTATTGTTTTACATGTCAAAAAACATGCAGAATGGAAAATACAAAACACAGTACGTGATCACACACATACCTTTGAATGTGCTCACACGTTCACACCCAACTAACAACAGGCCTCAGACACACAAGGCTCAACCATCAAAGAGGAGCATCTGATGAGACGTGCAGGTTCCACCACATGAAACCTTTGTATATATTACACACACTTACAGACATGCTTGAATTAACCTGCAGTTAACTACTACAAGTGCTCAGTGGCTATGAAAATGTTGTCTTCCCTTTCCTGAAAAAACATTTTTGTACTTAAATTCCAGTATGTGAACGCTAACACTACTTTATATTAGTAAAACACTCACACACTCACTTCAGTCAGCTTGTATAATCAAGAAGAGGGTGCATCATGCCAAATGAGAGATAACATGTTTTTTTCAGAAGGTACAGTGTGTGTGTGTGAGTAAAAAATAATTGCTTTACACCCACACAACCAACAAGCATGGCAGGGTTCTCTCTTGACTGCATGCCCGTCTCCCTTTCATGCATGCGTCTGCATGGTTTAAAATGTTTTTTTGCATCTTTTTAAGTTTACTTTATTTCTTACACATTTCGATGTGTATGAACACCAACTCCATTCTGTTGCACATTGTGAACATGTTCAGTTTTACCCACATGTGACATGTATTTTTACAAATACATTTGCGGTTCTTCTTAGAGGCTGCTGTCTTTCTGGGTTTGGCTTTCAAACCGCAGCGTTTGGCTTTCTGACACATTTTAATGTACAACATTTAACCAGGCAGATGATCAGTGGGTGTACACGTACATGTTCGTTTTTTATAGCCCAATCTAGATCAATTAGGTTTCACTTAGGCAAATCATATCGTAAAAGTGAGTTTAGTTTACTTTCATTGCAAAAGACCTGTTGGAGTCATTTAGGCCACTAACCCACAACGTAGCAAACACAGCTGCAGGTGAATCATGCGGTATTTGTCATGTGACCTGGAAATAGAGGTTATGTTTGTAAGCTGGTGGTCTTTGGTTTGTGGAAAACCACTCGTCTCTGCCTGTGGGGGCACATGGCTTTAATGTGTCTGTATGACTGAGTGTGAACTGTTTTGCTATTTTATTAGTAGCTCCTTATCCACTTAGTTGAAAGCCTGTAGAAATAGTACCAAACCTGAATAGATAGACATAGTTGTAAATGACTTTGTTTTCTTGCTCTTGGTAGTTCCAGCTCCTAACTCCTTTAGAGTAGCGCTGCAGTCTGCTTCCTTCTCTACCAGGGAACAGTTTGAATACCAGTGTAGGCAGACTAAAGTCGTGCTACATTAAATATAAATAAAGTCCTATTGAGTATAATTCTTTTAAAATGCACTTATTTGCATTGTCATGAGACAACACTCTTAGACACAGTTGCTAAAACATTGAAGAAAATGTAAACGGATCCTTCGCGTTCAAGCCCTTTCCAACCCTCTACCAATTTGAAAAAACAATTGTGTGCTGTAACATTTTAAACACTTTGCCTTTACTTCCAACTTCCTTCCTCCCTTCCTCTCTCCTTTCTTCTCTCCTCTCCTCCACCCCTACCGACCCTCCCTCGCTCCCCCTTCTCTAGCAGCCGCCCCAACCAGAGGATGTGCCCCCGCGGCCCAAATCTGGTAACGTTCAGCAAAGGCTGCAAACCCTTCGGATTGCCACGCGCTTTTACTGCGCCATGAAACACGTAAGAGATGTAAGGAACCAGGGCTCATATATATACCAGGCATGATCTATTAAAACAATCTTTTTTTATTATTATTTACTGTACGGCCGAGCATTTTCGTTTCCTCGTCCTCTTCAAGCTGTTATTTAAAGTCCATATTTTGCACACTCTCCATCCATCGACAGTCACCTTTTGCTCAGCAAGTTCGGTTTAAGTTTGTTTTTGTTTCCACCATTCACTCAACGGCACCGACATGTTTGTGAAACACTGGAGGGCAAGAAGTGAAGCAGTGAGGTGGCAGCGTGAATGGGAAGGACACTGCTGAAATCATTCAGGAACCAGAGTTGGAAAGAGAAAGTACATACTTACATTCCTGGAAAGTCACATTATTTCAGAGGGGGAGCTTCCTTGCTTTGTTGCCATTTCTAATTCCAAGTTTAAAACTGAAACTAGGTAAGTTACACAAGTCTTCTATGTTCTGTAGTACAAATGGATAAGCAGACAGCATTGATCACAGCAGTGTATGAAAGAGTCCTCAAATCACTGAAATGGTAAACAATAGGTTGTCAAGCCTGTGATAAAGGAACAAGACGGTGCATCCCATTGCAGCTGAAACACTTTTTATAATGAAAGTGTATTGAGCAGTAAATTAGTTGGTGTTTCCCCAGGTTTGTTTCATGTTTGTACGGTATTATATTAGCTGGTAATTTGACCACAGCTAATATGACTCTGGCCAGTTTTCTTATTTTAAATATATAAAAGCCTCCCGAGATAATGAGCATATTTAGAATCGGTATGGCAGTAATCCTTGAAATGGCAATTACCTCCGTCTCTAGTTTTCGGGGAACATTGCCTATTCTATCAAAAAATTCCAGTTTCTAAATGGGTTTTATGTATGTTGCTTTTAATAAAGGGACACAAATAGTTTGGTTATCAAAGCGAATATTTGAAACAATCTCGATGCAAACTATTTGCAGCGTAGAGTCTACGCTGTGTCTACGTTTCGGTGTTGCAGAAATCCTGCATAACGCCATCACTTTGTTCTTCGGAGACGGCGTGAAATCAACATGGCCAGCTGGCAGGAAGCAGGAAATACATTTTACTATAGTTTTTTCAAGGTCTGAGAGAATTCACCTGTCACACAGCTTTACTACCCGCATCAACTACCCACCCTCTCTTCCTGACTCTAATATATCGTTCTGTTTTTCTACTTACTACCTCAGCGTAGTGCACAACTCAAGAGTCAGACACATTTGATTACTCTCATAGAAACCTCTGCATGACTGCGATAAAGACTTAATGAACCGGTCTGACTCTGTAAATAAAGTTGAGATTTAAAGCGCAGAGATGGATGAATGCAAGAGATGATTTGTCGGGTTAGGTGACATATCTGCAAAGAACTTTAACCGTGATGTTCCCTCTCTTCTCAGCCTTATGTTGCGTCTTCATTTACTTTTCATGTTGCATCTATATTCAGTCGAGCAAGTTGTCCATCCCATATTTCTTGCCAATTGGAGGTCCATGTCTGTTCAAATATGTGCTCAAATGTCCTATTTGTGAGATGTATTACCATCTGTGTGAAGGTGTAAATGTATGTGTGTGTCTGTGTGTGTTGTCTAAGCTCATTGTAGTGCTGCTGCTCTTCTCCTGCTGCTGTAGAGACACTGTAGCAGCTGATCTGCTGCTGATCTGCTGCTGCTCCTCATGTCCTGCTCTCCTTCTCCTCAGCCAATCAGAACTAGGCCCCGTCCCTCCTCACATAACACCTCCTCCCCGTACTTGTCAGAGAGACATTCATCCCAGTAGAGCGACTCCTAAATAGGAAACTCCTTCGTTCTGCTGAATAGAGGGAATGTACAGAGTTATAGAAGTAGTTTATACTAGATGCAATCCACAGTTTAGTTTCCGGGATGCTTTTGGGAGAGCAGCCCAGTGCCAACAAGGACGTTTCATGGCTTTGAGTTGGACGTCCTTTTTTTTTGCATGACACAAAGAGTGTGGATCCACCACATGCATCAATAACGCTTTCGAGACTTCTGTGCAATGTGCCAAAAAATGATATGTGCCCTTTTGTTTACCTTTCAATGAAAACAATGAGAATATATATGCAAATAAGTGCATGAGGTGGATCTGTACCCTGCTGTGAGCATGCTGCATGTACAGTTGATCACAGACGGCCTGTACTTTGTCAGACAACTCATTTTACAAGTTATATGTGTTGTCTTTGGCAAGAGAGGCTTATCTGGAAAAACACAGGCTCAAAGTCTTATTTCTACCAACGGGGTATTTCAACATGCAGGATGTCAGGCAGATCCATTGTGAACACTAAGATTAGACTTCACCTTTGTCATCAGGCATTTAGAAATACCCCTTTATTCATATAGGTGAACTATGTTTAGTCCTGTGTAACATAAGGTATATTATTAATGATATCTGGGTGAAATGTATGAAGAACACTGAGGCCGGTGTTATTCCTTTAAGTCAATATTTCTTGTCAACTTTTGACCTTTTATTAATATCTAAGGACTTAAATGTGTCTGATTTAAATTAGCTTAATATTTAGGGCCACTTTCTATTTTTATTAAAGATTTGAGCGTCAGATTTCTGTTGCATTTTTCACCCAGGTCTCTCAGGTTCAAGCCGTCTGTTGTCGTGTTTTTGACTGTTGTTTATCTGGCTGCTAATCTCCAATACTAATGGGCAGGCCAAGGAGCTGCCCACCTACAAGGACAACGACTTCATCAATAACGGACAGAAGATCCACATTGATGCGGAGAACAAGAAGATGTTCCTGGAGAAACTCAGGAAAGATGTGGAGGTATGTGTTCATCCACATCACAACGGAAAAGAGCCAACGCTCCCTCTGTTTCACCCCTCTCAGTTTATATTAATACATTTTCTATTTCCACAACCCCGTCCTTTTTAAACTATTTGCTCTCTTTTCCCCCTGCTTTAATTCCCTCTGCCATCTCCCCTCGTCCTCAGTTCCTGGCCCAGCTGAAGCTCATGGACTACAGTCTGCTGGTTGGGATCCACGATGTGGAACGAGCTGAGCAAGAGGACGTGGAGAGCGAAGACAACGAGGCCGACGAGGAGGGCGAGAGTGACGGAGGGGGTGTTGGAACGCCCCCCGACAGCCCCAGCAACACCCTGGACAGCAACAAGCCTCTGTCCCCCGGAGAGTTTGATCCCACCATCGACGTCTACGCCATCAAAAGCAATGACAGTGAGTAGCTGCATGTGTTTCATGGATTTATGCGATGTTAAATCCAACCTGTGCAATGTAAAGGACTTATTCAACAGCTTAATCATATATAGAGTACTGAGAGCTCCCCCTGCTGGGTGTTGTTGTTCACACTTGTGTTTTAACCTGCTGCTGTCAGAAGGATTTTACCCTTTTTAACAGCACCTGATGACATTCTGCAAAAATAAAATAGATTCTCATCCAGGGTGCCTTTTGTTTTAAACCACAGCTGCTCCCAGGAAGGAGGTTTACTTCATGGCGATCATAGATATCCTTCAGCATTACGATGCTAAGAAGAAAGCAGCTCACGCCGCAAAGACTGTCAAACACGGGGTATGTAGCTGCTTACAAGAGGAGATATTTGTATATTATTTATAACACTGACCAGAGTTACAAGATAATTATACTGCATGAGGAGACTAACGGTTGTCTCTGTGTCCCCCTACAGGCCGGAGCGGAGATCTCCACAGTGAACCCAGAGCAGTACTCCAAGAGGTTTCACGATTTCATCACCAATATCCTGTCATAGCCTCCAGGAGTGACAGGGGGCACGGAGGCACATGGGAAAGGGAGGGCAAGGGGGGAGTAGGGCGGGGAAGAGAGGTGACGGAGAGAAAAAGCATCAAGAGGCTGAATTAATAAGGTGCTGTGATGGCTTTGTATCGCTCTCCCTCTCCTCGTCCCTCCCTGCTTCTCTCTCTCTTTCAGTGGCGTGCCACGCTCTGCAGCTATAAAAAGAAAACCATCATTCGTTTACATTTAACCTCTCCTCTGTTGACTTTTGTGTTACTCTGATAAGGGTGTTTAAAGCAAGCGTCCAAGTCATTACGTTTTTTTTATATTATTTGTTTTTGTCTGTACGGTTGTTTATGTGGGAATTTGGCTTATTTTTTTATTGCCTCTATTACAACATCCAGCTCCCTGCTTTTGTTTTTATGTTTGTTTTTGTCTTCTCAGTATGATAAGTAGGAGGGTATGATGTGTACAGTGCAGAGGTCAGATTACGGCACAAGGCTTGAGCGGGATGTAACGAGGACATACATGTTGAGCCTCGCCTGATGCAATTGCTTCATTTCAGGAAGTGGGAAGCAGTCTTCCAAAAGGCCAACAGCCACACACCCCCACCCAAACGCTATACTCAGCCAAACAAATCTTCCCATTTGCGTTGATCCTGCATCCCTCGCCCTTTAGACGCCACCCCTCCGTGTAAAGTTAAGGAGTTGATCTTCTGGGTTATCTTCTTGCCACACACTCACAACAAACACATCTCATTAGCTGATTAGTTCACTTGTTGCACCTCAGTGGTTGTCCCTTACGCTTTGTTGTGATGCACAGTGATGAAGAATCATTTAAGGGAAGGATACGTACCGTAAAATGAGGAGATTGGAGCATACAAAGTGTTGTTTACTTGCATTCCCCCTGAATATGCCGGGCATTGTTTTCTGTGGCAGGGGATGACCCAGAAGTCTTGTGTGGCTGAAGAGATTTAAGTCACTCCTTGTTATATCTACATACGGGGTGTCAGATTGAAACATCAACAGCCCTTTACTTTCTGTTGCCATCAGCACCTTATGAGTAAATCAAAAAAATGTTGCACTTTTATTTGTTATTAGAGGTTAGGAGCTCTTGTTCTGTTACATGCGCTGCAACAAAGAGGACAAACGTGTTAGAAATCCTGATCCCAGATCCCTCCTCCTCCGCATGTACTCACCTGCTGGTGTTTCTTACTGTAGGGGTTGGATGGGAAGACTTTACTGCAATATTAGACGGGAAAGTGGATGAGTTCTGTTCACGGGGGTTTTTGTAAAATGACGTTTCCGATCCTTTTGGAAGCACTCTGTGGGGTTGAGGGATCTGGGATCAGCTACAGTGTGTCTGTGTTCAGGGCAGGCAGGAGACGGTTTACCTCCAGCATCGTACCAGCACACCACTCAGTGTGTGTGTGTCAGTGTTCAAAAGTTGTAAAGGGAGAGACAGTGAAATTAGGGGGGAGGTGGGGAAGAGAAGAATGAACAGCGACAGCATCGTTCTCTCCTCTCACCTCGGCTGGTATTCATCGTTGTTCGTGTTGTTGTTGTTGACATTTTAAAGGTGGTTTAACTGTGTTTGAATTTGGCAGTTTTATGAATTGATGTGGTAATAATTTTTTTGTTTCTGTTTGAGGTTTTTTTGTATATTTTGCACAAGAGGAAAGGAACCAAATGTTACGAATACGATCCCAATTAGTTGATACGGTCTTAACAAGGGAAATGCAATATACTTGTGTGTAAGTGAGAAAAGTTGTTGTGCGTGTGACGTTGTGTATCACTTTCTGGATAACCAACTAAAAGTCGTCCTTCTTGACTATTGTAACCCATGCAAAAAGCTTCCATCACAATATGTTTGTTTATCATAGAATATATTCACATTTATATTTTTACATTGGATTTTAGTCATGAAATATAGTTGTATTTAAAAAATAAAAATAAAAATAAGGAGCCACCCTTGGGAATGAATGATGGTGCTGTGGTAAATGAAGAATGATACTGCTTGAATTTATACTCACTATAGATGTAAGAAAAAACCTAAAAAAATTGCATGTCACAGGACTAAGTTTCCTTCCCCTCTATCTGTGTTGTTCTCTTCGTGTCCCTACACTTTAACCAGATTTGTGAGCGTAAAATAGTCCCTACCATGCTTTAAATACCTGTGTTTCATTGTATACACTGTGCAAGATGTGTGCCTTTATACTCCAAAATTATTTAATTTTATATTTTGTAATCTTTTTTTTAAAACAAAGGTAAAAGGTTATTTTAATAATAGGGTGTTTACTTTGACCTGCATTATTTCCAACTTTAATTTCAACCTCCTCGTTCTTCCACTCCAGCACCTCCTGTATTGTTCATATTATTCAGTTTAACAAAACCATCTTATGATTGTGTTTTTTAACCGTCATAAAAGTGAATATCTGTCTTGAATTTTAATATGGTGGATTGGTTTGGATTCTGTAAATTCAAATCTGTCATTGTGATAATTCAGTGTGTGCAGGCGTCTCTACTCTGAGGCGTCTGCTGATATTAACCCCTCGTTCGTTCACGCTGGTCCTGCCTTTATAAAGAGTGTGTGTGTGTGTGTGTGTGGAAGTGCATTGTGATGGTGTTTTTGTCGTTCTCTAACTGGCGGCTGCTCAGGAGTCTGTCAGCATGTTCATCGCGTTTACCTTCGTAACCACAGATATCAGGAATGTGATTTTTGTTTTACAAGTTTGTCCACAATTTCACTTCCCTTCGTCGATGTAAAACCCATTTCTGAACCCGGTTTATGTTCTCCTGAGATTTTGTGTCTACCACCTGCTTGTTATCAGGGAGGTCATCCGCTGATAGGTCACCCTGAGTCAGTGGTTAATGGATATTTCAGTGTTCTTTCTCTATTAATGGGCTGTTTTGTTTCTATTGTCACGTAGCTCATACTGTACATAGGTTGTGTCATAAAGAAAACAGGAAATGAGGGAAGACTCATCTTCTCCTCGTCTGCTTTGCTCTGTTTGAGGCATAGCTGAGTAGAAAACAGAGCAGTGCATGCTGGGAGAGTGAGTTTTTTTCTGTTTCTGTTTTGGGAATATTAACTCTGGTGATGCCAGACTTTAACAGATGCAAATTTAAAGACGATAATAACACACTCGCTCTTCTGCTGTACTTTGACATGTAAGGCTTTTGTGACTCACGAATGAGCTCCTTCACCAAACCTGCTGCCACGGTAACTTGCCAAAAGCATCTTTCAGCAGTCAGAACTACCCACCATGAGCTTGAAGAACATTGTGTACAGTGTAATGTGTCTGTTTGTCTAAACTGATTTTTTTTAACATGCACTGGGAGATGGTGCATTCGCTGATATGTGAACATGTCCAAAGTTTTGAGAAACAACCCTGTGTTCATGTGGTGTTCAAGTGTTAAGGGAATTACAAATGCAAATGAGCGAAGGCCAGGCCAGATCTGCAGAGATGGAACATTTCCTGTGGCTTTCTAGGATTAAAAAAAAAAAAAAAAGTCTTTCTGGACAACAGTTTTGAAATGGATTGAATCCATTGAATTTGCATGTCAACACATGGCCAGGAAACATCCTGCAGTCGAGCTTCGGTCTCACAAAAGTCCCAAGTTCTTTTAGACTACATCTAAAAGACTTACGCATTAGTGTATGCACGTGTGTATGTGTGAGTGTGTGTTATTGCTGTCTGACAATGGTTGGTGAGAGCTCCCTTTCAGTGGCAGAGAGGCCAAAATGATGATGTACGTTTATTGTTCTTCACATTTAACGATGATGATGATGATAATACACTCCATCCCATAAGCTTCACTCAAACCAATTAAAGCACTTGTTCTGCTTAACTCAAAGTTTACCTCTGATGTTTTTATTATCTGATGTTTATAAGTACCATAGTTGTTGCTTATTTTAAAATGTGTTTATTTTACACTAATGCTCATGGTTTATTTGTGTCGCTTTCATTTGGTCAATTTTGAAGCCCTATTTGTATAAGTATTACCCTTGTGCAGCAGTTTCCTCCACAGATATATAATGTCCTCTGATATTATAGAAAACATCCAGCCAACATTTCTAATATAAATACATTTGAATACACCTGGAAGATGAAAGCAAAAAAAAATGTTTCGTTAGTTGGATCTTCATAATGATCAATCAAAAAACGAAAAACATATACGTGCCACAAAGGAAATATTTAGGCTACTAGTTCCTTATTATATAACGTCGCAATCGCTTTAATATAAATAGTAAAAACACTTGACAAAACAAACTGTATGCGTTAAACTGCTTCGTGCATAATGTCCGCTAGCAGAAGTGAATATAAAAGCAAAGACACAGCTGACTTAAAACATGAGGTAATCCGTTTATGGAAAACTTGAACCTCCGCCTATTTATATATGTATGTATTAGGTCTGCCAAACAATGAAGCCTTTGACACGCAAAATATCAAATGTCAGAAGAAGAAAAAACGGGTATAGATTAAAAAAAACGCATGATTAAATAAACACTAGTCTTCATAACACATTCGTTCATGTTGTTGGCACAATACTTATTATTCAGATGAATCAGAGGCAGTTGAACATCACGAGGAGCGTTTCTGTAAAACCAGTCCAGTTTTAAATATTATTTTTTATATTTTGCGTTCGTTCCTTATCGCCATATATAATATAAATAAGGCTAACATTTCATAACATCGTTTATTTTAAAGACAGCTTCACACTTTTTGATTCAGCTTCAGCAAATTAGAATGATATTCTCTAACGGGAGCAAAAGGCTGTCCATTGCTTTACAACAGGCTATGTTGCAGAATTGATTAAATGTCTATTCAGTTTTTGGAGGTCGTGCTTTCGATCTTTATTTGTATTTATGCCTGAAAAATGCGGAACCTATAGGTTAGGGTGGGTTTATTTCTCTTTATCAATAATTCCGTATAGCCTATTTATTCACTCACTTTGAAAATTGAATTTACATTGCACATTTAAACAATAGGCTCCAACAAGCGATAACTAAGGATATAGCCTAATAATAGCCTATATCAGATGTTTAAGGAAGAAAGGAGGAGGGGGTGGTGGCAGCTGCAGCCGGACTAGTTTAGGTCTCAGAGGTGGAGGCTAATTTACACCGTCAGTAGGCCTACAATGTGGAGAACAAGCAGAGACGACACACAAAGAGCGGCCCGCCATGTGCGCTGCAGCTGCCCCACACACACACACACACACACACACACACACACACACACACACACACACACACACACACACACACACAGAGCTCAGACGCAGTGAGGCTCCACGGCCGCCAGGGGGCAGTGTGAGCTCTGCAGAAATACAACTTCACCGTATATTTTATATGTTTGCATTTTGCAAACTACATATGAGGTAGACATGCCTCTCTGTGATTGGAGCAAGTGATTAAATCCACATATTATGCTGCCTGCTGAAGTGTCTTTTGAGCAACACACTAAATGCACCTCAATTGTTGCTGCTCTGCTGAACCTGACCTTTGACCTCTCTATTGAGTGCAGTTTTTTTAATGTCACTCCATGAAATGTCCTTTATTTTATCTTTAGTCTCTCTTGCACAACATATAGTGACAAAATGAGCTGTCTATAGCATATCTTAATATAATTTGTATAATGTAGTATAGGCTACTTCGATATATGTTGTTAGTATTACACTGGTCCTGTAAATATATGTTTAAATTCTACAATACATTTCTAATCATTTTCTATTACTCAAAATCTCCCCTTTTTTGTTTATGTGTTACTTGAATTTGCAAGTCATTTTGTATCTTCATTTAGATGAGTACATTTAAATCATAGCACCACGTAAATGTTAACTAAAGTAATGTGTTGACCTACAGCCTGTGAACAGCTGGTAAAATGTACCTGCGCAATGTGAGTACAGGTGGGCCACGCCCCCGATGACGTCAGAGGTGTTTGCGCACGGGACAAACAACTAGACCAGGGGTCTCCAACCTTTCTTCATCTGAGAGCTACTTTGAAAAAATGAAAGTGGCCAAGAGCTACTTGCATCACATCGCTTACATTTATTCACATAGCCCTCATCAGTTGAATTAAGCTATACTTGTGTACACGTGTGAAATTGCAATACCTAAAGCTTATCAAAAATCTTAACTTCACATCAAGGTCCAAGAAAACGAAGATTTCTCACATATTATTATGGCCCACATAATAAGTACATCACTGAACATTCACATGAGTGTCCTTAATCACCACCTTACAAGCATTTCACTCTTTTGTTAGTGAGATGAATGGCACTGCATGCAGTCCACCATACAGGTGTCTGCTGGAGTGTACCCACTTAGGTTCACTCTAATTATGTCCATCAGTCAGTCTTGTTCTGTATTTAGATTTCATTCATGTCAGAAAAAGCTGCTTCACAAAGGTATGTAGAACAGAACCAAATAAAGCAGACATTTTCAGTGCTGCTTGGTGAATGTTCTATAGTTTTTGGTGTCTACAAGGCTCCAGAAATGTTGTGAGTTTTGCTGAGACTTAAGCTGAACATTATTTTGGAGATCTCCACAGGATTGACACTGAACAGTTGTTCAGCCATCTTTTTCTTCTTCTTCTTCGTCTTGACATTAAATTATAAACCATAATAAATCAAGTGTATAGGTCTAGCCTCCCTATATCTGTGTGTGAAAATGGTTCCATCCTCAAAAACAAAAAACGAATACTTCTGCAGTCTAGCTGCAGCTTCTAGCTACGGTCTTCTGTTAAAAAAAAGACACTGAATGTCCTGAATGTGGCATCACACACATGACTTAAGTCTGAACACAGCAGACAACAGGAGTATTTACAACAGCATTATAAAAACAAAAATAGTGCATGTGGGTGTCTTACTGTTACATAAATCCCATGAATGTATGAGATTAAGTTAGCTTCATATCTCAATCAGTGATTAAGTGAATAATAAAGTTTCTATCGGGTCACTATCAGCCTGTCACTCATTATTTTCAGGGAGGGGGCGGGGTTTGGAGGAACAGAGGAGACGGTGATCGCGGAAGCTTTCCTCCTGCCTTCACATACTTTACACAAGTATTTATCAACTGAAAATAGCAAGAGGACATTCATACTCTGCAATCCAAGACTTGATTAAATCCACCAAAAACCTGACATGACGATAACGAGTGTTTTTCAAAAAACACAAATCCCTCCCTGTGTGTCTCTGAGCCGCAGCGACAGGGCCTGATTCAGAGCGGGTCATTCTGCTGTTAGTTCTGGACTGGTGCTGGTGGAGAAAGCAGACTGCTCCGTGTGTGTTGTCACGTCTGTTCCTTGATCTCTGCGTCACCGACCATTTGATATTCGTGTGACAGAAAAAATTCTAAAATAAAAAAACGTTATTGTCCAGCCGCGGCCGAAAAATCAATAAGCAACCTCACTACGCTATAATCGATAATCGAGCGGCGAGCTACTGAAAAGCTGCCCGCGAGCTACCGGTAGCTCGCGATCGATGTGTTGGAGAGCCCTGAACTAGACGGTTAACTTCCAGTCAGAGAGTATGGACCCTCGTCTAAATGGAATACTCGTGGATTTTTAATCATGTAAGTATGTTTATGTACTTTGTTAACTCTGTACTGTACTGGACTGACCTGTTAGCTTGTCAGTTTAATGTGGATATCAAACTAAGTTAACGTCAGTTGCTCAGGCTTACCTTGTTAGCGTGCTAACTAATGTAGCCTGCTAACATGGACGCGCCACACACAACATGTAATAATGCTTAGTGGTTGTAGTTGCTTATAACTTGTCAACAGCGACTAGTAGTTCAGGTGAGTGTTTTACTGGTGTGTGTGTGGGGGGTGTGTGTTCGCGCTACATTTTCAAATGCTGCTCCGTAGTAAAGCAGTGTGTAGCCAAGAGTTTTCTTTTCACTCACAGTGCACCCGACTGTGTGATGGTGACTATATTGGTGCTTTTTTTTCTGTGTACACTGAGACAGATAGCGGCACCAGCTTCCTAAAAAAAAGCAATGTCACATTCACTGCCATGGCCGCTGCTCTGTGTAAACAGCTGTGATGCGACCTGATTACTGTAAAGAAGGAGAGGGTAATCTATGTGGAGACTATTGGGACGTTAATAGACGTTTAACTGTTAAATTGAAGATATGGCATTAGCTTTGTTTCCAATATCTTTATGTACTTACAGGTATGTGTTCGCTACAATAATTGACATGATGGAGCTTCAGTCTGCAGAGGAGCTGATTGAAGAGAAACCAGGTAAATGTTCTGTTAAAATGTGTCTGCTGTTCTACATGAAAATCTCTAACGGTAAGTACATTTTGCCAGTATGTGAAAAACCTCTCCAGTTTTTAAGTTAACATTTAGATAAAGTACATTGGAATTGAATTTTACTGTAGGCATTTATTAATATGTTCAAACTTACTCAATTTCAATGTTTAATATTCTGATTCAAAATGTGTTTTTCAGGAGAATTGATAGTTTGAGCTTGTAGAACCCAATTATTTAATCAGGTTTATTTCCCGTTTGAAACAAAGCAAACATTTAATAAACTGAGCTTCCTTACAAATAAGAGTTCATATAAATTCCCTTAATAGTATCCTGAGCTTGCACTATTTGTATTGTTTTATTTATTTATTTTATGTCTTATATATATGTATTTATGTTGCATTGTTGGAAGAGCCTGGGACTGAACTGTCTCATTGCATATCCACACTCTAGCTAGTGTGCCTATGATAATAAAGCACTTTGAACCCACCCCTCTCTGCTTAAAAACTAAATGTAAAATCAATTAAATAGCTAACTCAACCCAATCAGTCGAAGTAACTTCAAAGAAAAGTTTACAGTACTGTATGTTAACACTGATTTACATGTTTTGACAGAATGGAGGCCAATAAATCGTTAAAAAAGGACGATGCTGAGTGTCGTGAAGATCCGTGTCCTCCATGAAGTGCAGCAGAAAGAAGACGCCACACCTCCCAACGTGTCCATCTCCATCGAGCGATCGGAGGGGCTTGATGAGTGTAAATGTTTGGCAAAGACCATTTTTGAGGTACTTGAGAATTTTCTTTTCATTGCACTTTATACTCCACTACCAATCAAAGGGAAATATTGTACTTTGTGCTTCACTAGATCTTATATAGAGTATATTAAGTATACGGTTCTGTTCTGTTATTTTAAATATTGTTAGTAATTCTTATTCATTTGTAGCTTTTACGGTTTATTTTGTTAATATTGGATTTTGGGTTACTTTTACATGTAATACAGAAACAGCATCGAGCTAATTATACTATTTACTTAAGTGACATTTTCATTACCAGACTTTCACTTGTAATAGAGTATTCTTACAGTGTGGTATAAATATTTTGACTTAAAGGTCAACCATCATGCTATTTTTAGGCAATAGCATAGGTCTCAGATATATAAAAATAATATATAAAAAACATGTCTATGAAGTGTTTTGCTCAAAATACCAAACATTCTAGCCATGCCTCATATCCCTCTATTTCACTTCCTGTTTCAACAGTGCTGATTTTTGGTATAAACCTTTTTATTTCCTGCTTCTTCACACACATGCTCTCCAGTACAGGTTAGCTCTGAGTGTTAGCGATGCTAATGTAAACACCGACCATATTACGTCCAAAACAGTCGGCATTGTTTCTGATAGGGCAGTGGGTCCACATTTCTGATATTACGTCATATCGGACGCAAATCTGTATCCGCTCCGTTGTACCCCCGTTTTTAGAGATGTGGGTACGGAGGAAAAGAGAGAGGGCTTTATTTTCTGACGCTGCGTGAGTTCCCTGACACACCGGGGACACATATTTATGTATAAAAGACATTAAAAAGTGCATTTTGCATGATAGGTCCTCTTTAAGTAAAGGGCCTGATAGATGGATGGATGGATGGATAGATGGATAGATACTTTATTAATCCCAAATTGGGAAATTATGTTGTTACAGGACCAGTGTGTTCAACATTAAAATACAAATACTTAAAAAGTTGAATAGAGTAAACAATTTAAAAATAAAAGGAAAAATAGTATAAACAATATTAAAATGTTCTTTTAAAAAGATCAAAAATAGTGCAGTAGCAAGAATGTAGGCTTATACTGTATATACATGATACTTCTTCAACCTCTGAGTGACGGTATATAAATCTGTTTCTGTGCCTGCTTTGTTTAGTTCACTGATTTATGAGCAGAATTTGTTCAAATCTTTGTAAGCTGTAGCTTAACCATGGCTTGTAGCAGACAACAGAACACAAATAAATGTGTTAAAAGTGTAAACTGTTTTAGTAGTAGCCTTAGTGTAAAATCTAAATTGCATTTGATGTTACAGGTCGAATAAATTACATTTAAATATGACCTTCATATTTATGAAATGTAAGGTAAGCATAGCAAGTACAAACAACCCGAAAGGTGCAAATGTAGTCTAAAGTAAAATCTACTACGCAGTAGTAAGTCACATAAAAACTGAGATTTGACAGTAAAGTTTACTCGAGTACTTCTTAAGTGTAAGTAGATGCTACTTTAAATATACGTTGTTAAATGTTTCTGAGTGCAAAATCTTACTTCCCATTGTTTTCAGTGTAGGCTGTTTATATTGTATATTCAGTATTTGATAGTGATACTGTTAAGATATATGTAATTCAATATTGATATGTATTGTTTATATTTTTCTCTTCATGTGCAATGCCTTGTTGTCATGTTGCTGTGGCAAAGACATTTAAAAGGAGTATCTAATCTGAAACAAGCTGCAACATGCATTAAAAAATAAAAAAAACACACAAAATAAATAAGATGTAAAACGGCTCTTTAAAATGTTGTATTTACTGTAAAGGCACATTTTCATGGTAACATTTGAACGTGTGTGACTGATGTCAGGCCGGCTGGTATCTCTCTAACCGCTCCAGCAACACCTCTGAGTACCCAGGGGAGTAGTACCTGAAACACACACACATTTAGATTACTGTTTACACACACAGGGGTTTGATGTTAACAGTGGGGGTTTGATGTTAACAGTGGGGGTTTGATGTTAACTGTGTGTGTGTGTGTGTGTGTGTGTGTGTGTGTGTGTGTGTGTGTGTGTGTGTGTGTGTGTGTGTGTGTGTGTGTGTGTGTGGTGTGTGTGTGTGTGTGTGTGTGTGTGTGTGTGTGTGTGTGTGTGTGTGTGTGTGTGTGTGTGTGTGTGTGTGTGTGTGTGTGTGTGTGTGTGTGTGTGTGTGTGTGTGTGTGTGTGTGTGTGTGTGTGTCACAGACACATACCTGACGATCTCCTCGGGGAAGCAGCTGTTGATGTTGTTGATGTGATCCCGCAGAGGGGAGCCGGGCTCCGCCTCGATCTCCTGGAGCTTCTTCAGACCCCCGCTGGTCACAAACAGCCGGCGAGCCTTGCTGTCATGAGGGAGCACCTGAGAGGAGAGTAAACTCAGGTATCACATCCAAACCAACAACTCTTAGAAACCTGACTTTCATTTAGATTCTGGGCCATTTTGAATCGGCCCTCAGCTAATTCAAAAAGTTATAATGCAGTACGGCTCAAATGAAACTTGTGCTCGTCTTGTACTTCTTACATATAGATACAAACATATATTACTCAGTAGTATTCATTTGTTAATGAGCCCACTTCTCAAATAAATTCAGTCAATTCAAGTTGAAAACATGTTCTAACAAATCTTAGTTGATAAGAAAAAAAGCCCAATAACTTATGTATATGACAAGCTTCAAATACACCCTTCATATTTCCTCTTATGATAATCAATCTGAGCTTCTGTTGTAAGGAATGAGCTGCCCTCTGGAGAGCTGTGATTTAGGATGATACCTACATTTGATTTTGCTGACCTATAGCTGAACTTATGAGGCAGTATACCTCTAGTGAGTGGCCCCGCCCTTCGTATATTTTTCTGTATTTGGCCACCCCTGATTTAGATTTCCCTTTCTAAAGCAGATTCCTGTTGTGTTTAGGGATGGGTATCGTTAAGGTTTTAACGGTACTACTTTTATCGATACCGCTTATCGATCCGGTCTTTTATCGGTTCTTTTGGAGAAAAAAAGAAGGTAAACTAACTAAATAAATTGTGAACAAAATTAACATTGCTTTTTATTTAAATTAAATGCATAATATTTCACATAAAAAGAAACAATGTTTTAACAAATCGTATTAAAAATAATCCGCCCTTACATGCTAAACTCTTATTGCACTTTTGGTAACGAGCATTGCCCACATCGAGACGGGTAACATTTAACCACATCTTGGAGCGCCTAGTTCTCTCCGCCATCTCCTCCGTGTGTGTGTGTGTGTTGCTGCATGTAGCAGCTGCGTGTGTGTAACCTGCCCCGCCCCCTCACAAGCAGGCGGGGGAGAGAGAGATCTCGTCTGGATTGGAAAGATTGAAAATACTAAAAATAATCATAGACGCATTTTGCAGTCTTTTTGCATATTAGAAACGGAGTTGGCGACACTAAAACTGCGATATAATGTTTGTGTAGCAATAATACATATGACATATATCTGTTACATGTCTCCAGTAGCCTACCGATAACGTCGGAGCTTAACGGCACCACGGTCTTTAATAATTCAGCCCCGGGGCTCGGTACCCATGCCCAGTTGTGTTGGACTCTCTCACCTTGCTGAACTGGCAGACCACGTGTTTGAGGATGTTGCTGGGAACATCGTAGAGGAGCGGCTCCAGACCCGGCAGGTAGGTGCACTTCTGCAGAATGCTCTTCAGAGCCTTCTTACTCTGAAACACGAGGAATTACATTATATTGCATACATTCATACAAACTGTTGTTTCAGCTTTTTACCAAGTGATATCTCCATGTGTGGCTTTAGAAATGTGCAGTTGTTCCCTCACTGTGATTGAGACCAAGTCAATATACTTAATACATAAGTGATAGTTTGTACGGTGGCCCTAAGAGCTCATTGCACCAAACATTTGGAAAATATCTTATGTTGCTTACTTCATGTTTGCTTGTTTTGTATTTTAGATGTGATGACTTTGCTTCCTGCTTATCATCCCTATTGAGGTGGGATTTATTCCAGACGTCTCTAGTTACATTTCATCAGCATCATTTGCTGTTGTGCGTTTCAGCTGCTTTGTTTTTATATTGCAAACAAATACGTTCTGAAATGCATGACTTAGTCAGCTGCAACCATTTCGGCTTTGTGCATATTGCGGTGTTTGGTTGTCTTCGACATGTTTATATAAATAAGTCATTTTATTTTATTCTAAAATGAAGCAACTGCCACAAAACTTAATTTCCGCTGGGAAAAAAACATTATTTTAGATTCTTACTCTCTATTGCAGCGGGGGGGTTTTGTGTTGTGAAATTTGTGGAGACATTCTTTCCTTTTATTGCTTGTGTTTGCAGCTCTTTGAGCTCTCGGGACCACAGCAGATAAAACTAGAAAGCCCATATATGTATGTTTTTGAGATATTCAAAAAGTTCACTCTGATTTCAGGTGTGACCCCTGCGAACCCTTTTTCGCTCTTACTTTGGCCTGCAGGTCCTCGGAGCTGCTGGCCTCCATGTACAGCTCCAGCAGTTTGCTCAGGAGGTTGGAGGTGGCCACCACCTTGGCGTGCTCAGGGCTGTGGTGTCCAATCTGTCCGATGGACCAGGCTATGGCCGCCTTGATGTGGTGCTCGTGCTCCTCGGACATACACAGGGCCAGCTGCGGCACCCCCTGCAGGACAGGAGGACAAACAGGACTCGGTGAGTGTGACCTACATACTGGACCTGCAGGAATGTCTGGTTGTACTGCTGCTGTGACATGGCTCGTGGAGAGGGATCACACGAGAGATTAACACCTTGGAGAGGATAACAGCCATGGCCAGGTTCTCGCTGTGAGCCGCCACATATCCCAGCATCATGATCCCCGGCAGCCGTAGGTTTCCACTGGACTCGCCCAGGAAGTCGATCACAGCTGCCATGCCTCCACAGTTCACGATCACCTGGGACAGCTGCAAACACACTCTGCACGTTACTTTGGCTCCTGCATGTTTGTGCCTTCAGTGAACGAGTGTGTGCTGCAGTACCTCTGGTGTGTGTTTCACCACCTCCCTCAT